GCATAAACTGATACAAATGCATCAGGCATTGCATGTGGTAGTTCATTAATATACAAAATAAATAATATAGAACTCAATATTGAGCCCTGTGGTACTCCATTCTTATTAACAATCGGATCACACATTGAAATTTTGAAGTAATTTTTTACTCTATTGGTGCCGGTCTTTCAGATAGGAACAAACCATCTCTGAGCAACTCCCCTAACACCATATCCGTACAATCTATCGAGGAGTACATCGTGTTACACACAATCAAAAGCACGACTGAGGTCACAAGAAATGGCAATTGATTTTTACTGTTTTCAATTGAGATTAAGACTTCTTCATAGAAACTGTTAATGACTGTGTATCTAGGTCACATCATGCGAAATGAAAAATACCAGTTCCTCCAACTTATAATCGAGGGTAAAATTGAAGGCAAGAGAGGAATGGGACGCAAGAAATGTCCTGGCTCCGAAACATAAGGCAATGGACAGGGATTAACGACATACAATCTCTGATACATATTGCAAGAAATAGAGAATTAATGGAAAATGTGATCGCTAACATCGATTAGTGGATTTGCATCTGAAGAAGAAGAATGACTGTGGAAGTTTATTTCGAAATCCATTTTGATGCTTTGTGATAATTTGGTTGATATCTAAAAATAATAAAAGTTGTTTTAGCATTGCATAATATTTAATAATCTTAGATATCATAGATGAAACAGACAATGGTCGAAAATTGACATTAACTCAAGATCATCTTGTGTTGATACCGGTGAGATGATAGAAGTTTTGAGCATATTGTGAAAAACACTAGTATTCAAGAAGCATTTACAATGTGAGCAAGTCCAAGTGAGCATCCTGTATAACTGAGCAACAATGGAGAGATCTACTAACAGAAAACCGACTTAACTTCATAGAAAATGCAGAAAGACTGGACATATCAGAGTCCAAGTAAAATAAATTTGTTTGATTTTAAAGAGACCAAAAACTTTTGTATGTACACTTTTTTTATATAACCATAAAATTTATGCGAAAAATTCAAATAAACGAATTTTTGGTTTCTTATTTTCATCCTCACAATTTTTTTTTTTTGTTTTTTTCTAAATGTGGTTAAAACTTTTTATGTCCCAAACACCGTGTATTTTTTTTTATTTAAAAGATTCTATAACTTACCCTGTAATTACAGCTTTACGTCAAGTCATCAGCTGTCTTCTTAAATTACGACATTGCAAAATCATTAATACTAGACACTAATTTGTTCTGGAGCGTGGAGAATTGTCCCTACGACACCGAAAGAAAAACTGGCTTGCTCTGGTATAAGGTTCTAAAATTCTTAGCATTTTGGTACCCAGCTCTGAGTTCTCTCAGCCGTATCGAACGTTATATTGACTCTCAAGGAGAGGGTGTTGCCATTTTCTACATTTGTGCCAGAATCTCCTCCTTACTGGATGCTTCACTTATTAGAAGATTATTCGTTTCTAACTATCACCGTTGGAGCTCAGATGTTTGATGTTTTCTTCGCTACTTTAGTGCTGATGGTTGTTATTCAGTGGAAAATGTTTAATAGAGAGCTGGTAAAGGTGCTGGAGACCAAAGTGGATACAAAAGAGGAAAGAAAGTTGTTCAAGTACGAAATTCAGAAGCTTATAGACTATCATATCTTTTTGAGGGGGTAAGTGATTTAATAAGTATAATATGTTTTATGGTAAAACTGTAATTTGAAGTAGAATTATCACCATCAAGGCTAAGATAGTCACGGCTAACATAAGGTATTTAAAAATGAAGATCCTTCTTTGAAAATAGACAACCAAAAATTAATGAAAAACGTTATTGTATCTGGCGAGCGTTGTAATCAGAAATCATATTTCTTTTTTTTATGTTAACACTTGCGCGGGGTTTGTATACTGCTATCTGGTCACAAATGACCAATTATCAGTTATTTTCTGACCTAACATAATAACAGCAAATACTTAAATCTAAGGGCTTACCCTATGGCTTATTCTTATTTTATCTATTAACTAATGCACTACAACTAGCATGCAATAACTTCACAGCACTATACTCTGCTTTTTACACTAAACTGTTACACATTTACACTAGCTCAAATGGTTTTGTCCTTATGAGTCTTCTCTTTAGTTCAGTGTTGTCAAGAAGCTGGATTTCCTCGACATTCACATGACTATGCAGCCTCTGCTCGTGACTTGCAGCTTTTCTCTTGATTTTTCGACCACAGTTTCCATACCCAGGTCCTGGTGGAGGTTGCTGTTACGGATATACCAAGGAGCATCAACAATGTTTCTCAGTACTTTATTTTGAAATCTCTGGATAATAAGTAGATTACTAGCTTTGATACAGCCCCAGAGTTGGCACTCATATACCCATACTGGCCTCAGTACTTGCTTGTAGATGGATAATTTATTATGAATTGACAATGTTGAATTTTTTCCAATCAGCCAATACAATTTCTTATATATAATATCAAGCTGCCCTCTTTTTATTTTGACATGGACTTTCCAGCTCAGCTTCGCGACTAGGGTGATGCCCAAGTATTTTGCTGATGTTGCATAAGGAATTCGGGGTATCATTTATTCTAACTGGGAAATTTTCTATTTTTTTTATTTGTAAAGTTAATGTGTGCAGATTTAGTCTCATTTAATTTTATTCGCCATTTTCTGGTCCAGTTACGTATTTTATTTACTGATAGTTGCAATTTATCAGTCGCTTCTTCACTAGTGTCTCCTATCGCTAGTATGGCTGTATCATCCGCGAAGGTGGCAATAGTATTTTGTTTTAGCTCTGGAATGTCACACGTATACAATAGGTACAGGACCGGACCTAAGACACTTCCTTGTGGCACGCCAGCTTTGATCTCCCTTAAGTCGGTGTACACTTCTTCTTGTTTTACTCTGAAATATCTATTCGCAATGTATGATTTCAAGATTTCTGAATACTGTTTAGGCATGAACGTTCTTAGTTTATAGTTTAAACCGTCATGCCAGACTTTATCAAACGCCTGTACTACATCCAAGAAGATTGTAGAGCAGACTTTATTTTCTTCTAATGTTTTTTGTATTATATTCGTTATTCTGTGAACTTGATCTATAGTGGAATGTTGATTTCTGAAACCAAATTAATGATTTGGTATAAGATTTTTTCTTTCTATTATTGGTTTTAATCTTTTCTAATAGAAGTTTTTCAAATAGTTTTGACATCACCGGAAGGAGGGATATTGGTCGATAGGATGTCACTTCATTAGGAGATTTACCTGGTTTGGCGATCATAATTACTTCGGCTACTTTCCAGAGTCTGGGAACACATCTCATTTAAAAGCAGCATTTATTAGGTGTGTCAGCTTAACTATGGCTTTTCTTGGTAGATTTTTTAAAATTCTCCTTTTATGAGATCATATCCTGGAGCTTTCTTAGGATTTATATTCTCTTTTATCTCTGTTGATACTTCTCTAAGTGATGTCAATGTTATTCTTTCGTCAGTTTGGAATGGTTCTTCCCATCTCAGTTCTTCACTATCATTGTCGTTGGGTTTGAACGTGCTTTCTAAATGATCTGCAAATCGTTCTGCTTTCTGTTCGTTACTTCTACCCCAGTTGCCGTTTTCCAACTTGATAGGAGGGGAATGAATAATTGGTCTCTTCAATATTTTTGTTGCCGTCCATAAAGAATAATCTGTGTTCTGGTCAGCTTTTAAATTACTTAAAAAAATAATTAATTGTTGAATTTTTTATATTCTGTATCTCCCTTTTTAGTTTTTGTGTAGGATTATTTAGACTATTTTGTCTCGTGGAGCTCTGTATTGCTGCCATTTTTTTCTTAACTTCCTTTTTCTACTATGAATTCTCTGCTTTCATTTGAATAGTTGTTCCCTTTTGTTCTAGAAGTTATTATGGAGTATTTTCCCAAGCTGACTGTTGGATATTTTTTATAAAAACTTCTAATTCGTCATCATATTTCCTGTTTTATTTTTTTGTTAAAAAGTGTTTTATTCTGTGTATTCCTGCTGTTTGCTGCTCTTTCCTGTTGGTTTCTATTTTTAATATTCTTTCCTCTATCTATTTTTAAGAACTCACGATTTTTTGCTCTAAATATTTATTTTACTCCGTCTTTTTATTTCACATTTTGTTTTGGGCTCTTCCTTTTCTGTTTTTTAGCATATTCTGTTCGGCTTCTTCTTTTTTGAATAGGTTCTCGCAGTCATTATCAAAAAAGTCCCTTTTATTTTTAACTTTCTGATTATCTCCTTTATTCGTTACGGTCGAGTTTACCGAAAGTATAAGCTGAATATAGTCGCAAATGTCAAAAATATTTCGGTTTGACAGTATTGGTATGTTTTTATAATGCATAATATGTTGTATGCTTCAAATATAAAGAGAGAAAGCTTTTATGAAGTACAGTTTGATTATACTATTTTATGAGTTCTGCAATTTCAATTTATATAAAGCAATACAGGTAAATAGTTGTCTCTTTCGAGATTAATTCCAAACATCTTACAACTGCTGAATTGACGTTTGTCAAATCTATCCCCTCATCGATCAAAGGGTAAATTGCTAAAAAAATTAATCTCCAAATAAACAAATGAAGACTCGAGTGGATAAAGGAGGTAACTAACATTTTTTGAAAAATAGATTTTTCCACATGGTTGAAAGGGGCAAGTGACAATCTAGCCTGTAGCACCGACTTCAACGCAAAAATATAAAGAAATAGACAATTTTCAAAATCATAAAAGGGGTAAGAGACATTATTTTAACTAAAGTACACGGATAAAAAAGGTAACTGCAGTAGTTGCCCCCTTAATTCACTAAAATTTGTAGATGCCTCTCTTATCCACTAGCTGACACTATGCTGACTTCAGTTGTCTCCTTTATCCATAACAAAATGTATTAATACGAAAAGAAGCCTGCACTTAAAAAGAAATATTTTTTCTTAAAAATTTATGTTAGTTTAGTGGCGTGTTAAATTTACAGTGATAATGTCGTTCAGAAGTAATTTAATGTTGAAAATGGCATTGGAGTTGTCTGGTAAGTAGTAGAATAAGCTATTTACTGAGTGCTGGTATACATAACCTGACATTTCAGAAAACCTGCATGAAGTATCTGAGCAAACGTTGAATGCTTCTAGAGTATCGGATTTAAAAAGTAATTTTTATTGCATTTAGATGTGTTCGAGTATAATTTATTGTTGTTTATTGTAGAATTAGATGTTAGTATTGGAGCACTTACCTCTGGTGCATCAGATACAACTGTGTGTGAATCCGTAGCTGCTGAAACACACAATAGATTGGACAACCCAGAATCTAACACAAATTTAGGTGAAATTATAAGTTGTTTGCAGCAACATACAGGGTATAGCAATATTGAAGAAGGTATGATGCATGAGACCTCAAAACATTATTTTCTGTCATTTAATACTTATTATTTATTGCAGATGTTTTCGCCGAATTGGAAAATGACCCGTTCAGGGCCAGCGATGAAAGTGATGAGTATTTACCCAGTCCTAGTGATACGACGGACACAGATTCCGACAATGATTGTATACCAAAAAGACTGAAGATAAATACTTTATCAACTCTTCAACAAAATGAAAACAACAAGGCAAACGTTTTTAATGATTTATCTAAAAAGAAACAAAAAGAATTTAAAAAAGTAGAAACAAAAACAAGAAAGAGATCTAGTGATCCAAATTTATGGAAAAGAAATACAGCAAGTAATGCTAGACAGCTAGGTCAATCGTACATAAATCAAAAAGGAAAAATAATACAATGTAAAAGTGTAAATGTTGGTTTGCTTTGTAGTCAAAAATGCAAAAAGAAATGCAATGATAAAATTAATTTAGAGCAAAGAACAAAAATATTTTCTGCCTACTACCAACTGGCAACTGAAGACATGAAAAATATATATCTCTTTAAGGGTATGAGTTTTAAGAAACCAGCAAGGCCAAATAAAAATGCAGTTCGTAGCAAATCTGCATCTTTTATTTATAAAATTTGCATTGATACTACAGAAACATTTGTTTGTAAAAAAGCATTCTGTTCTCTGTTTCAAATTGGCAAAAAAAAGATAGAAAACTTACAACGAGAACTAAAGGACGGACTGCAAATTCCTAGTGTTTGCAAAAGAGGGAAGCATGAAAATAGGCCACACAAAATTGCAGAAGACGTAAAATTATATATTATGGATCATATTAGCTCGTTTCCTGCTACCCAGTCACATTACTCCAGAAACAAAAACCCGAATAAACAATACCTTGCCTGTACATTAAATATATCAAAAATGTACAAACTATATCTTGAAAAATGCATTGAGGAAAATAAACAGTCTCGTTTTCAAGTAAAATACTGTACCTATAGCAACATATTCTCTAAACAATTTAATTTATCATTTGGTGAACCTCGCAGTGACACTTGTAGTACTTGCGACAGTGGAAACGCTAATGAGCAACATAAGGAAAATTACGAGGCAGCTTTTTCTATACAACGTGCAGATCGTGAGTATGCAAAAAACGAAGATGGAGTATGTTATCTAACTATGGATATGCAACAAACACTTCCCCTTCCTAAATTAACAACTAGTAAGGCTTTTTATCGTCGTCAGATGTGGATGTATAATTTAGGAATACATTCAATTACAAAACTTTCAGAAAAGGCTAACTTTTTTACATGGACTGAGGACATGGCTCTTAGAGGAAGCTCTGAAGTATGTAGTTCATTACTAACCATGTTAGAGTACAATAATATTTTTCAAGATAATGCTATATCTCATCTGATAATATGGACCGACTCTTGCGCAGGTCAAAATAAAAACTTCTTGATCATATGTCTCTATCAGTACCTTATACTAAAAGGAATTGTAAAAACTATTGACCATAAATTTCCTGAGGTTGGACATAGTTTTTTAGACTCCGACAGAGATTTCGGACGTATCGAAAAAGTATTACGTCGACATGAAAATATATTTTTACCTGAGGAATATAGAACCATAATTACCCAAGCAAGTAAAATGAATCATGTTACAGACATGCGTATACACTTTCGAAAATTTGACGATTTGGCACGGAATTTAAATTTAATTAATCGCAAGAAAAATACTTTAAATGAAACTGTCCCATTTCGAGATGGAATAAAATGGATTCGTGTTTGTAATTATGGATCCTATTTATATAAAGAGAGCTATGATTCAAACACACCTTTTAAAGAGGTAAATATAATTAGGAACTCGCGTCAGACCCAACCAGTTGATTGCGAGATTGAAAGAATTAGGGAAAAAACTGGCCGGTTATCAACTGAAAAAGTGGCAAATCTCAAGAGTCAGCTTCAATTTGTCAAGCAACCGTATAAATGGTATTATAATGCGATTATTACCGAAAATGAACAGAATAATAACTAATAAATTAAAATTTTTTTATTGAAAACATGTTACCACTGGGCGTTTTTAAACAGAAAATTATTTGTTTTACAAATAGAATTAACTTTTTTTTAATAAAATGTATGTATTCAGCTCGTTTATTTTATTTTACCTTGACTTAACCCCTTTAAAAGAAAACTAGTATCTAGTTATAGTAAAAAAATTTCAGTGGATAAAGGAGGTAAGTGTAGTTTTTTCAAAATTTTGGGTTTTTAAAACAAAAAGCGAATTAACAAAGTTGCACACATAAAATGTACCATTAATATCTACTCACCGAAAACATTTAAAACAAAACGCACAATTACATAATGCAACTTCAACATGTTTAAAAATTAAAACTTTAATCTGCTTTTTCTCCATTGTATAATTTTGTTAGTTACCTCCTTTATCCACTCGAGTCTTCAAATGTTTACTCATTCTTGTTTTGAATAAATCAAAAATTGCAGAATTCATTAGATAATACAAGCAAAATGTACTTTTCTAAAGCTTTATCTTTTTATATTTGAAGCATACAGCACCTACATTATAAAAGCATGTCAACACTGCTATATCACAATTTTTTGTTCCATGTTTGGTATTTGCGGCTATAATCAGCTTGTACTTTCGGTAAACTCAATTTTCGTTACCATAGGGCAGTGATTCCCAAAGTGTCGGTCGCGACCCCCTGGGGGATCGCCATGAGGTACTAGGGGGTTCGCCGAACATTCCAAAATAAGACAAAAGCACCACTCTTGTTAGATCATGTATTTTTATTTTAACAACGCCGTAAATAGAAATTAACAATTAATTATCAGACGAAATATAAAACTAAATATTAAAGTCCGTAAAAATAAAAGAGTAAAACAAAGTCAAATATTATAATCTTAATGAGCTATGCGCCTGTTCTGTGAAACTAATCTTTCAAATCTAGGCTGTGTATTTGAGACACACACAATTATATCATTTTCAAGTACGAGACGATTTCTAACTCTTGTTTTAATGGCAGTCATAGACGAGAAACTTAACTCACACAAATATGATGTTACAAATGGAACCAAACATTTTACAGCTTCACTCGCCAACTGGGGGTATTCCTGCATCTTTTCGGTCCAAAATTGGTCCGAGTTCTGGGAAAAAAATTGGAGCTTCAACATTCCATCACTTGATATTTCAATAAGTTTTTCTTTCATGTTTATTGGTATTTCAACATGCTGAAAGGAATCGGCTAAAAACGGATTTAGTATCCATCTGCAACTGTCGTAACTGTTTTGAATTTCTTCGGGGAAATAATCACAGAGCTGTTGTTTTAAATTGAGCAAAGTAACATGCATGTCAGCAAAAACTTGTTCAAAATTTGTAGCACTGTAATTGGATACATTTTCCATAATTTCCTGAAGGCACTGGAATGAATCGAGTTGTTTTTTGCCAAGTGAGGTCGACCATAAATCGATTTTTCTTAGAAACGCCTTAATTTTATCTGTGGCTGTAATTATATTAATGTCGCGACCTTGTAAATTACTGTTCAAAATATTTAATTGCTCGAAAATATCAGCAAGGAAACCTAGTTTCAGAAGCCAAATAGGATCGGAAAATTGATTTTCATATGGGGACTTCTCATCTTTCAAATACATTAAAAGCTCTGCTCTTAAGTGAAATACTCTTTTTAAGACGTTGCCCCTTGAAAGCCACCTTACTTCGGTGTGATAGAGAAGATTTTCAAATAAAGCACCCATGTCTTCGCAAATTTTTCTAAAAATACGGGTCTGCAAAGCTTTTCCTTTAATGGAATTTACAACTTTAATGATGGTTTTCATAACACAGTCCATTTCAGGAGGTAAAGCTTTGGACGCAAGAGCTTCTCGATGTAAAAAACAATGTCTCCATTTGGCATTAGGCATTATTTCTTGTAATTTGACGACAAGACCAGATTTATGTCCTGTCATAGCTTTAGCGCCATCTGTGCATATAGCAATACATTTACCCAGTCAATATCATATTTACTTGTACGTTTCACAAAAGTGTCGAGTAAACATTTTCCAGTGGTATTGGTCTCCAATGGGGAACAAAATAAAATATCTTCTTGAATGCCATTATTTGTATCATATCTTACAAACGTAATGAATTGGGCACAGTTAGATATATCTGTGGATTCGTCCATTTGAAGAGAGAAGTACGTGCATTTATTAAGATTTTCCACAACTTGCGCTTGAATATCTTCTGCCATATCACTAATTCTTCTTTGGATAGTATTATTTGACAGAGGTATTGTATTTAATTTTGCAGCCTCTCTTTCCCCACACATTATATGTACCATTTCAACAGCTGCTGGAAAAATCAGATTTTCAGCAATTGTGTGCGGATTACTAGTTTTGGCAACACGATAAGCAACTTTATAACTTGCTAATAATGCTTTTTCATTAGTAGTGGTTGCCAAGGGAAAACTGTCTTGCTGTTTGTGAAGGACGTTCAGCTTTCTTTCAAAGAATTCTACGGGCTTGTCTTTTTTATCTGGATGTTTGCTATTTAAATGTCGAAGTAACTTTGATGGCTTCATGCTTTCTTTTGACAAGACTTGTCCACAAATAACACATTGTGGTTTATTGGAAATAACGGTAAAACCATATTTAAGATATTCATCAATGTAGAATCTGTTTTTCTTTTTATTGCTGCTACTGCCACTTTCAGACGTAGATGGTTCTGCACTTCTTTTTAAAAACTTATCCATAATTTATAATTTATCGTAGACGTAATACGTAAACGGGAATACGTAAGTCGTAAAATATTTACTCATTACTCAACACCGCGTTCGCCACCATAGGCTGTTTGGATTCGAACTGAGTTCGTTGCGCATCGCGCTTATATAAGCAAACGAGGCTACGAGAACGTTCCAGAGTGCCATCTAGTAGCGAGCGCTTTCGCGATTATCATGGAAGAGTTTTGCGATGTAGACACAAGCTAATATGTCGCGGTGTACAATGTGCAGTCGACTTCTTAATATTTATTTTTATTGTAAATGCTATTCTGGCAGAAGTACCTACTACTAATTACTAGTGGGACAGATCGCAATCATTAAAAATAATTGTATTAAAATAAAATAATTGTACTACAAATTTTTACAAAAAGTGTATGTTTATTACGTAGCAAGATATGATGAGAATGATGACTGCTTCGTATCATTTTTAAGATTAAAAGAAAGAGAAAAAACAAAAGTTTACATTTCCCATTGAACCGATCTAGCAAATGTAAAAATTTCAGATATTAAG